CACATCCCTGTCCTTGCAGAGAAGAGGTCCCGGCCAGCCCCCCCCCCTTCTGCAGAGCAAGGAAGCGGTCCTGTCCCCCAAGCAAGAGCATCCTTGGGTACTCTGCCTCTCTGGCCCACCTCGGTGGTCTCTAAAGAGAAGGAGGTGGGGGGGCAGAAGGGGTCTTCCAAGGAGAACCCACAAGCCCTGCTTGAGCACAGCTCCTCTTGCCAAAGAGGCACGTACAGGAAAGATGCCCTTCCAGCTGCCCTGTGGATACAGGGTGGTGAGGGTGGTTTTTCCTATGGGGCATCTTTTAAGTACTGCCCACTGCTCCCAGACCACACCCTCAAGAGCTTTTCAGCCGCAGACAAAAATAAGGATAATTTCAACAAAGAGGCTACCACCAGCACAGAGAACGGCCTACTTAGGTGGAGGGTCAGGGACGAGCACCGGCCATCCCTAACACCTCTCTTTAGCTCCATGCGGCCATGGCGTATCTTACAAACACAGGAGAAGCCACGGGCACTTTCCATGTTCCATTCTGGGAACCATGATGCGTGCGCTGCCTCCGAGCGGGCGCCTGCCGGAGAAGGAGGGGCTGGGAAGCACCAAACACCAATCCGGCCGCTAAGTGAACAGGCACGAACTGCCGAACCAGCGCTTTGTGCCCATCTCTACTGGGGAGGGAGGTCAAGCACTGGAGAAACCACTTGATTTGGGAGGTGGCAAAAAAGGAGGGGGAGCCCCGAGACGCAGAAAGGAAGGACAAGGTTAGGGAGCAGAAGAATGAAAAATAAGAAAAGCCATCCCAGGCAAAACCCTCGCCTCTTTCAAGAAAAGTCCGGGTGTGCCACCCCCAGGGGTGGGTGAGCCCGTTTCCATTTTGAAACCTCTGCCCTGGAAGTCCTGGCCCAAGGGGACCCAATCCATCCTCGGTCTGATCAACCCGCTGGTTCTTGGCCAAGCCCGTCGTGAGCATCCTCCTCCAGAAAAGAGACGTGAGGGGAACCGAGTAAACTGTGCCCTCGTTTTTGTGATCAACACCAGAAAGTAAAACTCCACACGTTCACCTCCAAATAAAACAGACCTGCTACATCAGAGGCTTTTAAGGAATCCAAGTGACATCCCGCTGAGCCAGACAGACTTTTTAATACGTAGGAAACTGCCTTTGGAAAAGCGGTATGAAAAGTGACAACAAACTCTGTCAACGTCCGTTCTATACATCTGAGGTGCCGTAAAAGACACAGGGCCAAATCAGAAGGCCCTGTGTATATATATCTATATACAGAGGGCTGAGGGACAACCCACCTGGCCCTCTCGCTCTTGACGGGGAATGCCTGAGGTCACCCTCAGTCGGCAACCGCCATCACCTCACAACCACCAGGAGACGTTTCCATCTTCTGCACAGCACTGAGCAGTGAGCAGGATGGATCCTTCACCAGCTACCAACAGGAAACAACTACAAAGTCAGGGGGTTGCTCCTGCTGTGCCTGCTCCGACCATCACCTTTTTTTAATGCTATAATGGGGTGGCAGGATACATCCTCAGGCCCACACTCCTGTCCTGCAGAAAGATCCCAAGGGACGGCGTTTGCAGGGGAGCTCCGCTTTTCCCAGGAAGCCTACCTAGCGCCTCTCACCGGAAACCTCGCAGTTTGAAAGATTACCATTCCAGGGCAGAGCCGGTATTGCAGTTTTAATGATCTTTCCCTCTCTGTCCCTTTAGTTGCATGTAAACACAAAGGCATTCTCCAAACTTTTTGTATTTCCTAAAAATGACACAGAGAAACGTCTCTATTATATACCAACATGAGTGTAGAGGGAGGCAACAGGGCTCGACCTGGCTCCGAGGGACTTCCAAGGGGGGCACCGAGCGCCACTCTGGGCCCTGCTGGGTTTTCCTCGGCTTCAGTCTCACCAGAGGCAGCAAACACCTTGAGAACTTCTGGGAAGTCCAGAGGCTGGATGATCTTGGGCAGCTGAAGTCAGGGAGAGGCTCACGAGGGAGGAAACGTCCCCTGCCCACCCCACTGGGACACTCTTCCCACAGAGGCATTCCCGCCTTGTGCAAAAAACACCCCAGAGTCCAAGGCAAGAGGCTTTCTCTGGGGCACCACCCCAAAGGGGGGTGGGGGTGGGGGCTGAGTCCACCAGTTCCAGCGGTCCCAGAAGCCTCTCCAGCTTCTTGTGCTGTCCAGGTCCTGCTCTGTCCTCTGCAACCAGCAAAGACCTCCCCGTCCCACCCCCATTCCTCCCCCTGCCCAGAACCGTTTTTACTCCTGTTGCTGTTTGTTCTTTGATAATGAACAAATTAGTCTTCTTTTCTGTGAGTGTACCTTTAGAAGAACCTGTATTGTTAAAATGGTATTTTTTTTCGTCTTGTGATCCCCCTTGCACATGTACTTGGTTCTTAAGTCCTGTGAGACATTTGAGAAAAACCTGTGTGAGACTGGGCTGCACCATAGATTAAAAATATAATAGTTGGATCACACCCAGAATGCTTTTAGGCAGTTAAGCATTGCTTGACTAAAGGAAAGAGTTGTCCTTGGCTCGCTGAAGCACGAGGAGCAAAGCCCTCTTCCGCCAGGCAAGGGGCCCCGGTCCTAAGGCTAGCAGAAAATGTGGGGGCAGGAGTTTGCGGAGGGGGGGGCGGGGGCCGCTGTTCAGGGCAGGCAGGGGGTCCCGGGGTAGGCGGCCTCGGCGGAGGTGTGCTGGGCACTGTGCTCCTGCAGCAGGCCCAGGTCCAGGAAGCGCTCCCCGCACCACATGCACTTGTAGTGCTGCTCCCGGGTGTGGACCCCGTGGTGCTTGTTGAGGTGCTCGCGCTGCTTGAAGGCCTTCTCGCACGAGGGGCACTTGTAGGGCTTCTCCCCCGTGTGCACGCGGCGGTGGCGCTGCAGGTCCGAGGCGTACTTGAAGCGCTTCTGGCAGTCCGGGCACTTGAGGGGCCGCTCGCGGGCCGGGTCGCAGCGGTGCTGGACGAACTCCGAGGAGGAGAAGAAGCGCCGCTCGCAGAGGGTGCACCGGAGGGGCTTCTCGGCACAGTGGGAGGTCAGCTGGTGCTTCTGCAGGGCCGAGGCCCGCTTGTAGGCCTTGCTGCAGGCCGTGCACTTGAAGGGCCGCTCGGCGCTCTGGACGCAGCGGTGGCGCAGCAGCTCCGAGGACTGGCTGAAGCCCTTCTGGCAGGCGTTGCACTTGAAGAGGTTCTCGATGCCGTGGACGTGCTGGTGGTAGAGGAGGTGGGCCGGCTGCACGAAGCCCTTCTCGCAGAGGGAGCACTTGAAGGGGGCCGCCTGGGGCTCCTGCTCCGATGAAGAGGAGGGTGCCCCTCCGGTGGCAGCGCCCCCAGCCCCTGCCACCTTGTGGGTCCGGCGGTGGCGCATGAGGGCGTACTGCTGCTTGAAGCTCATCTGGCAGAGGTCGCACTGGAAGGGGCGCTCGGTGCTGTGGGTGCGCTCGTGCTGCCGGAGGTCCGAGGGGCGGCGGAAGCCCTTGTGGCAGGCGCTGCAGCGGAAGGGGCGCTCCCCGCTGGGCGTGCAGGGGTGCTGCAGCAGCTCCGAGGACTCCTTGAAGTGCAGCTCGCACACGTTGCAGCGGAAGAGGTGCGCCTCCCCGGAGTGGGCGTACATGTGGCGCACCAGGTGGGAGCGGTGCTTGAAGGCCTTCTCGCAGACGGTGCACTTGTAGGGGCGCTCGGCGCTGTGCGTGCGCTTGTGGTGCACCAGGTGGGAGGACTGGCTGAAGCTCTTGTCACACAGGCTGCACTTGTAGGGCTTCTCCCCCGTGTGCACCCGCTCGTGGCGCGACAGCTCCGAGAGGTGCTTGAAGGGCTTCTGGCAGATGGAGCAGCTGTAGGGCTTCTCCAGGGGGCCCCGGTTGAGCGCCGCCGGCTGCTGAGGCGGGGCCGGCTCGTCAGGCGCCGCCGCCACCGCCTTGTAGGTCTTCTCGCAGATGGAGCACTTGACGGCGGAGCTGCTGTTGTGGACGCTGTGGTGCTGGGCCAGGGAGGTAAGCAGGGAGAAGCCCATCTTGCAGACGCCGCAGACGAAGGGCTTCTGCTCCGCCTGCAGGCACTGGTGCTCCAGCAGGTCGGTGGCCTGCTGGAAGATCTTCAGGCACTGGGTGCACTGGAAGGACCGGTCGTGGCCCCCTTGCAGGCACTGGTGCTCCTGGGGGTTGGAGAGGTGCGCCAGGTCGTGCCCGCACACTCCGCACTTGGGGGAGGGCTCTCCGCCAGTGCTGCCGCCGCCACTGCCGCCCGGGATGGGCGGGTGGTGCTGCAGCCCGCTGGGCTCCGGCTGGAGGAGGATGCCATAGACGGCGCAGCCCAGGGGGTTCTCGGCCAC